TGAGAGAACATTGGGGGCAAATAGGGAGAGAGCATTGAGGGCAAATAGGGAGAGAGTGTTGGAGGGCAAAAAGGGGGAACATTGGGGGCAAATAGAGAGAATTGGAGGGCAAACAGGGAGAGAGCATTGGGGGGGCAAATAGAGAGAGCATTGGGGGGCAAATAGGGAGAGAACATTGGGGTAAATAGGGAGAGAGCATTGGGGCAAACCGGGGGAACACGGGGGACAAATAGGGAGAGAGCATTGGGGCAAATAGGGAGAGAGCGTTGGGGCAAACAGGAGGAACATTGGGGGTAAACATGGAATGAGCATTGGGGCAAATAGGGAGAGAGCTTTGGAGGGCAAATAGGGGGAACACTGTGGGCAAATAGAGAGAGAGCATTGGAGGGCAAACAGGGGGAACATTGGGGGCAAATAGGTAGAGAGCATTGGGGCAAACTGGCGGGGCAGGCAGGGAGAGAGCATTGGGAGGCAAACAGAGAGAGAGTGTTGGGGGCAAACAAGGGGAACATTGGGGCAAACAGGGAGAACATTGGGGGAAATAGGGAGAGAGCATTGGAGGCAAACGGGGAACATTGGGGGCGAATAGGGAGAGAGCATTGGAGGGCAAACAGGGGAACATGGGGGGGGCAAATAGGGAGAGAACATTGGAGGGCAAACGGGGAACATTTGGGGCAAATAGGGAGAGAGCATGGGGGCAAACTGGGGGGGCAGGCAGTGAGAGAGCATTGGAAAACAGAGAGAAGAGTGTTAAAACCAGGGGAACATTGGGGGCAAATAGGGAGAGAGCATTGGGGCAAATAGGGAGAACATTGGGGCAAATAGGGAGAGAACATTGGTGGCAAATAGGGAGAGAACATTGGTGGCAAATAGGGAGAGAACATTGGGGGCAAATAGGGAGAGAGCATTGGGGAAAATACGGAGAGAACATTGGGTGGCAAATAGGGAGAGAACATTGGGGGCAAATAGGGAGAGAACATTGGGGGACAAATAGGGGGAACACTGGGGGGGCAAACAGGAGGAACATTGGGGGAAATAGTGAGAGAGCATTGGGGCAAATAGGGAGAGGGCTTTGGAGGGCAAACAGGTAGAGAGCTTTGGGACAAACTGGGGGGGCAGGTATGGAGAGAGCATCAGGGCAAACTGAGAGAGAACGTTGGGGGCAAACAGGGAGAGAGCGCTGGGGAAACAGGCAGGGAGAGAGCATTGGGGCAAATAGGGAAAAAGTGTTGAGGCAAATAGGGGGAACATTGGGGGGCAAACAGAGAGAGAGAGAGAGCGTTGGGAGGCAAACTTGGTGAACATTGGGGTTAATGGTTATGTAAGGGTTAATGGTTATGTTAGAGGTTAAGGTGAAGGTTAGGGTTAATGGCTATGTTTGGGTTGAGGTTATATTGGTGAAGGTTAGAGTTAATGGTTATATTAGGGTTAATGGTTATGTTAGGGTTAAGGTGAAGGTTAGGGTTAATGTTAGGGTTAACAGTTATTTTAGAGTTAATGGGCAGTATGAAGATGTAAAACACTTAATCACATTCAATGTTTCGCAATCAGGTTGGGGAGCTCTGTGATACACCCACACACAGCATATTATTGGGAGTTTAATTGCTGGGGAGCTCTGCGATACACCCCCACACTGCATATTATTGGGAGTTTAATTGCTGGGGAGCTCTGCGATACACCACCCACTGCACATTATTGGGAGTTTAATTGTTGGGGAGCTCTGTGATACACCCACACACTGCATATTATTGGGAGTTTCATTGCTGGGGAGCTCTGCGATACACCCCACACACTGCATATTATTGGGAGTTTAATTGCTGGGGAGCTCTGCGATACACCACCCACTGCACATTATTGGGAGTTTAATTGTTGGGGAGCTCTGTGATACACCCACACACTGCATATTATTGGGAGTTTCATTGCTGGGGAGCTCTGCGATACACCCCCACACTGCATATTATTGGGAGTTTAATTGCTGGGGAGCTCTGCGATACACCACCCACTGCACATTATTGGGAGTTTAATTGTTGGGGAGCTCTGTGATACACCCACACACTGCATATTATTGGGAGTTTCATTGCTGGGGGCTCTGGAGTACACCACACTGCATATTATTGGGTTTAATTGCTGAGGGCTCTCGCGATTACACCACCACTGCACATTGGTAGGGTTTGAGGTGTTGGGGGCTCTGTGATACACCACGCACACACACCATGTTATTAGGTTTTCATTTGCTGGGGAGCTCGATGCACCACACTGCACATTATTGGGAGTTTAATTGCTGGGGAACTCTGCGATACACCACACACTGCACATTATTGGGAGTTTAATTGTTGGGGAACTCTGCGATACACCACACACTGCACATTATTGGGAGTTTAATTGCTGGGGAGCTCTGTGATACACCCCCACACTGCATATTATTGGGAGTTTAATTGCTGGGGAGCTCTGCAATACACCACACACTGCACATTATTGGGAGTTTAATTGTTGGGGAGCTCTGTGATACACCCACACACTGCATTTTATTGGGAGTTTCATTGCTGGGGAGCTCTGCGATACACCCCCACACTGCATATTATTGGGAGTTTAATTGCTGGGGAGCTCTGCGATACACCACCCACTGCACATTATTGGGAGTTTAATTGTTGGGGAGCTCTGTGATACACCCACACACTGCATATTATTGGGAGTTTCATTGCTGGGGAGCTCTGCGATACACCCCCACACTGCATATTATTGGGAGTTTAATTGCTGGGGAGCTCTGCGATACACCACCCACTGCACATTATTGGGAGTTTAATTGTTGGGGAGCTCTGTGATACACCCACACACTGCATATTATTGGGAGTTTCATTGCTGGGGAGCTCTGCGATACACCCCCACACTGCATATTATTGGGAGTTTAATTGCTGGGGAGCTCTGCGATACACCACACACTGCATGTGTGGGGTTTCATTGCTGGGGGCTCTAGATACACCTGCATGTGTGGGAGTTTAATTGCTGGGGAGCTCTGCGATACACCACACACTGCACATTATTGGGAGTTTCATTGCTGGGGAGCTCTGCGATACACCCACACACTGCATATTATTGGGAGTTTAATTGCTAGGGAGCTCTGCGATACACCACCCACTGCACATTATTGGGAGTTTAATTGTTGGGGAGCTCTGTGATACACCCACACACTGCATATTATTGGGAGTTTCATTGCTGGGGAGCTCTGCGATACACCCCCACACTGCATATTATTGGGAGTTTAATTGCTGGGGAGCTCTGCGATACACCACACACTGCACATTATTGGGAGTTTAATTGTTGGGGAGCTCTGCGATACACCCACACACTGCACATTATTGGGAGTTTCATTGCTGGGGAGCTCTGCGATACACCCCCACACTGCACATCACTGGGAGTTTCATTGCTGGGGAGCTCTGCGATACACACTGCACATTTTTTGGAGTTTCATTGCTGGGGAGCTCTGCGATACACTCACACACTGCACATTATTGGGAGTTTCATTGCTGGGGAGCTCTGCGATACACCCACACACTGCACATTATTGGGAGTTTCATTGCTGGGGAGCTCTGCGATACACCCACACACTGCACATTATTGGGAGTTTCATTGCTGGGGAGCTCTGCGATACACTCACACACTGCACATTATTGGGAGTTTCATTGCTGGGGAGCTCTGCGATACACCCACACACTGCACATTATTGGGAGTTTCATTGCTGGGGAGCTCTGCGATACACCCACACACTGCACATTATTGGGAGTTTAATTGCTGGGGAGCTCTGCGATACATCCACACACTGTAAATCACTGGGAGTTTCATTGCTGGGGAGCTCTGCGATACATCCACACACTGTACATCACTGGGAGTTTAATTGCTGGGGAGCTCTGCGATACACCCACACACTGTACATTATTGGGAGTTTAATTGCTGGGGAGCTCTGTGAATGCAATGCATATATACTTCTCACACTGAAAACCCCTCTCTCTCTCTCTCCATACTGTTTAGGGTTTAATAGCTCCTGGTTTTCATGTAGAAGTTAAGCATGACTTTTACACTTTGATTACGTTCCCATAATTGAAATCCTTCCTCCGGATCTATCGATGGACTTAACCATTAGAGACAGGAAACTCACAAAAATAGTTTTTCCTGCTGTAATGGCGACGAATGTTAAAAAAACTCCACCCCAGCCACTAACTGAAATGATACCTGTCACAGAAATGTGTAACACACTATTAGAGTTATTTACCAAAGAGAGAATTCAAACTTAATTCAATAAATAGACAAGACCAGCAATTATGGCCTCAAATTAACATGGAGTTCTCACTATAAAACCCAACATATACAGCCGATCTACCTCGTAATAATTATATTAATACCCAGAAATAAACAGCCTCTATACCGTGTAATAATTATATTAATATCGGGAGATATACAGCCTCTATACCGTGTAATAATTATATTAATATCAGGAGATATACAGCCTCTATACCGTGCAATAATTATATTAATATCAGGAGATATACAGCCTCTATACCGTGCAATAATTATATTAATACCGGGAGATATAGAGCCTCTATACCGCGTAATAATTCTATTAATATACAGCCTCTATACCGCGTAATAATTCTATTAATACCGGGAGATATACAGCCTCTATACCGTGTAATAATTATATTAATATCAGGAGATATACAGCCTCTATACCGTGTAATAATTATATTAATATCAGGAGATATACAGCCTCTATACCCTGTAATAATTATATTAATACTGGGAGATATACAGCCTCTATACCGTGTAATAATTATATTAATATCGGGAGATATACAGCCTCTATACCGTGTAATAATTATATTAATATCAGGAGATATACAGCCTCTATACCGTGTAATAATTATATTAATATCAGGAGATATACAGCCTCTATACCCTGTAATAATTATATTAATACTGGGAGATATACAGCCTCTATACCGTGTAATAATTATATTAATATCGGGAGATATACAGCCTCTATACCGTGTAATAATTATATTAATATCAGGAGATATACAGCCTCTATACCGTGTAATAATTATATTAATATCAGGAGATATACAGCCTCTATACCGTGTAATAATTATATTAATACCGGGAGATATACAGCCTCTATACCGTGTAATAAATATATTAATATCAGGAGATATACAGCCTCTATACTGCGTAATAATTATATTAATACCGGGAGATATACAGCCGATCTACCGCGTAATAATTATATTAATATCGGGAGATATACAGCCTCTATACCGTGTAATAATTATATTAATATCAGGAGATATACACCCTCTATACCGTGTAATAATTATATTAATATCAGGAGATATACAGCCTCTATACAGTGTAATAATTATATTAATATCAGGAGATATACAGCCTCTATACTGTGTAATAATTATATTAATACTGGGAGATATACAGCCTCTATACCATGTAATAATTATATTAATATCAGGAGATATAATTATTACACGGTAGAGGGTGTATATTAATATTCAGAAATAAACAGCCTCTATACCGTGTAATAATTATATTAATACAGGGAGATATACAGCCTCTGTGACAGACCCATCCGTATGGACTAAAAGTACTGTGTTCGTCTGTTTTGCCGTTTGCATGAATTTCCCCATTCGTATGCCTTGTTTAAGGGAATGTATTTTTTTTGTCGAACGGAACTACCGAACGGACGGCCACCCAGAAGAGAAGTGTGCTGCTGGTTAACCTATTGATCCCAATTAGAACGTTGCGGTTAACCACAGACACTTCTCAATTAAAACCGAATACCGGGTGGTCGTCGTTCGGATGTCGACCACGAAGGCGGCGGCCATTTTGACTATGCGAAAGCCCAGCGGTGTTCGACGATTATTTCATGGAACTCAAAACGGACACTTTTTCAACCGAACACCGCTGAAGCCGTCGACCTCCCCTTCTCAATCGACAAAAGCATACGAATACCGGCCGTTCGGGAGATTTAACAACACGAATGGACTTAACCCAGATAGCCTTCCCATGGAGTCAATCGCATACCGAAGAGCTGTAATAGACTTTGACTCCATGGCGATTGAACTATGCGTATGGGATCTGAGCGCTATTCGCCAATAATATGCACTCAGATCCAGGCTATCTGGGGATGTGTTATACGAATGTAATACGTTCGGCAGTTATAAAGTTATGGATTTTAATGTGTTTTGTAACTTTGAGTTAAAATGGCGATGTGCCTCTGCTCGGGGATATAATTGAATTACTTCCCAATTATCTCCCGAGCAGAGGGGAGGAAACTGTGATGCATGCTGGGAATATTGTGGGGATGTATGTCCAAAATGTCCCCATGTCCTTCTGTTATTTCAGTCTCCCATTTGGTCCCCTAGGGGAGTGTCCACCAAGTGGGAGACCTGCATAAATACGGGCAGGTAGCCCACAGTAAACTCAGTTCGTGTTTTACCCTCAAAGCGGAGCTTGGTCTCGTTATTGGGGGGATTTTATTACCGGCGACTAGAGACTGCTTATTGGGATTATTTGCCGCTTGGAAACTATTGCCGTTCGGCTGCTATTGGCGATTCGTGTATTTGGAGCTCGTGAAGGGAAGGAGCCGTACAGGTACCGTTCGGGAGTTTAGAGTGTTCCCTAGCTGGCGGTTCGCATGGTTATACGGCATATGCTACCAGAACCACATTGTTGCGAACGGGGAGCATTCACTAAACGGCGGTTTGTGCATTTACTACTGGAGGTACCGTAACAGCCTCTATACCATGTAATAATTATATTAATATCCGGAGATATACAGCCTCTATACCGTGTAATAATTATATTAATATCCGGAGATAAACAGCCTCTATACCGTGTAATAATTATATTAATACAGGGAGATATACAGCCTCTATACCGTGCAATAATTATATTAATACCAGGAGATATACAGCTTCTATATTGTGTAATAATTATATTAATACCGGGAGATATACACCCTCTACCATGTAATAATTATATTAATATCAGGAGATATACACCCTCTATCGTGTAATAATTATATTAATATCCAGAAATAAACAGCCTCTATATCGTGTAATAATTATATTAATATCAGGAGATATACAGCCTCTATATCGTGTAATAATTATATTAATACTGGGAGATATACAGCCTCTATACCATGTAATAATTATATTAATACCCAGAAATAAACAGCCTCTATATCGTGTAATAATTATTGTTGTGGAAATAAAATATGGACATATGCACATATATCTTTGTAGTTAGTAAAATGTCTATTTACCCATTGCACTGAAATCAGTAGATAAGCTATTCACGCATATTTAGACAAAATGGCTGCTAGAAGTTTCTAACCCCTCCCTCCTTATAACCTCGACTAACTACCTCGTGTAACAAGATGGCGCTGAGATCTGGGGGAGACCCTCATGGTCTCAGTGACATCACCTCTAGTAGGCAGAGCACTAAGATAACTACTTAACACCTAACCAATTGATACCGTATTATTCCATGTTATCTCTGACAATGCTTATGATGTAATTTTGCTTTAAAAGGGACTTGCCGTCCCCTCTGAATAAACATTCCTCAAGTTATTCAATTACCTGAAACTTGTGTGTGGTGTGAATTACTTCAGGGAGCGTGCATGCATTGTTTCATTAATTTGGCCAGGGGCAGATACACGAAGAATAATCAATCGATTGAGTTTATTTCCACTTCAATTGGCGCCCAACGTGGGGCACCGGATTTGCCGGCTCGGAGGGCCGGAAACCAACGGACCGGAGCGGACCTCCGGAAAGTGGGACACCCGGAGCCTGATCACCTCCACCATACAGCCGTTGTCTGTATACTCCTGTTTTGTGTCGGTCTATCTCCGCGTCCTTCCTGCATCCAGAAGGCTACTAGACAGGTAACATCTTATCCGGTGCTCTTTTTAACGGACCTGTCGATTGTCTATCTGCCTCCTGAGTGTTTATGTGAGTGTGAGTGATGGCCGGTGTAGGTGTTTCTTTTAAAAATTTTAGCTTGACTGCCTAGCGGGCAGGGAACGCGACAGACGGTAAAGGGCTGGGGACCACCCTCGTAAAGGGTTGGGGAATTGTGACAGCGCTGGGGACCACCCATGAGATCGGGTTGGGGAATTTTTTTGACAGCCTGGAATAAGGGGCTGGGAATGTTATTAGATTTGTATTGCATTGTTTGATTATGTACATGGCCATATTGCTCTCTGTTACTTTGTGGATTTTGTTCAATTGCTGCTACAGTGTGGGTACCCTTGGTGTTTGTGTGTGCATTGTATGGTTTGTTCTTGACTCCGGAGTGTACACTCATTTTTACGTTTGTGACTTTTGCAAATGTTTAGTACTTAGTGTTGCTACCTTCACCTTCTCCCTCAGAGCTGTGTTAGTCACCCACGCTCGCCCCCTCCGGTCTGTGGCCACCACCCCCGGGTGCACAGACCATCGTGACTAGTCTACGTTTTGGGAAGACGCACGGGTCCCCCGTGGCAGTCGAGCACTGTAGACTCTCTTACTTTTTCTTCCCTCTTACTCGCTCCCTTTTACTTGGTAGACCACGCTTGGTCAAGATGGGGCAGGAACATGCTAGACCAGCTAAGGGACTGATAGCTTGTGAAATTGTGAAAGAAAGAGCGGGGGAGGATGCAGTGTTAAAGATCAAGAAAATTTCTAAAGTTTGTGGATTCCAATTGCCACCTGGTGGTAGATTGCAGCCTGAGTTTTGGAGGAAGTTACTTGTGGATAAGGAGGGGTTATTGTCTGATAACAGGTTAACCAAAGCAGTGGAGGCTTGGTATCGAGTAGCTATAGGATTAAAGCAGGAGGGTTGGACAGAGGAAGAGCTTGAGTTTGAGGGACAAACGCTTTATGTGTATCATCGAAATGATTGTAATTCCAATGTTTCTCCTGACCACACCCGGCCACCGCCCTATGATGGCGCCCAGACCATGCTGAACAGTACCCGCCGATCTTCCCCAGTTCATGCACAGACGACACCTCCCGGTGGCATCACACATGGTCCCACCCCTTTGTGTCCCGTGCTTGGAGCCGATGGTACCTATTACTATCCATTGCCATTGCATCTCTTTCCCCATGCCCCTTTGCCACGGCCGTTCTCCTCCCCAGATCCGGTCCCTCCCCAGAACCCAATGCCAGTCCAGTTACCAAACCCAATCCCAGTCTCTAGTACCTCCCTTGTTACCTCCTTGTTTGCCATCCCGCCCCCAGACGCCTCCCACTCCTGTTGTCCCACCTTCTGTCCTCCCTATGTCGGACCATGACTCCGCCCCGCAACTCCCGATCCTCGTCACTCCCGACACTCCCCTGGACCCGGCCCTTACAGTGACCCCTTCCGTTTCCCTCCCTAACCCTGTTACTAATGCTTCCGGTTCCCCTACTAGCCTAGTGTCTTCCCTCCTCACAGCCCTCTCCACTGCCCTCGAGCCTCCTCCTCCTCCTCCTTCACTTCCTGAATCCTCCCCTATTGTGGACCCACCTTCTCTCCCAGCTTCTCTCCGCACTGAGTTGTCTCCTCTCCTCTCCGCCCTCTCTACGTTGATCCAGTCACCCGCCCAGTCTCACGTCACCCCCTCTGACCCGGCCCCTACACCAACCCAGATAGCTCCTAACCCAAGCCTCGCCTTTCCCCTCATGGTGGTTGGTTCTGAAGAACCTGCTACGTCAGCCAAACCCCATGCCCTGGGCGTTTCTCCCGCGGCTTCAACGTCACAGCTGGGCAGTTCCCATAACATGTCACTTGCTCCTCAGACTCCCATTACCCCGGCTGTTCCCGGTCCGATTTCTCTGGGTGCCGCCTCTCACCAGGGCGATCATGTCGCTCCATGTGACGATGGCCCTGATGAAAATGGCCCATCCCCACCCCTGGGTAACAGGCCCCTGACACAGCCTGCAGCATGGATGCACCTCCATGTTCCCTCTCCTGCTAAAAGTATGTCACCTTTAACCCCTCACAGGCCGCCACCCTTGTCACCTCTCTTCCTGATCCTGAGAAACAACCCATGCCCTTTTACCGCAGAATGGCTCAAATTCGTAAAACCTGCTCCGCAGCTTGGCGGGATCTTTATAGTTTATGTGAAATCAAAGCAGGTGATGCCTATTGGCCTATTGTGGAGAAAAGTTTTACCAATGCTCCACTTACCACAGATACGGATTTCCAGTCTGGTATCACATTCTATGAACAGCTTCGTGCCTGGGCACAGGATAAACTGGCAGACCAGGCTACTTGTATTACAGACATTGTTCAAAAAAAGCTTGAATCAGTAGAGAAATATCACTCACGCCTTACACAAACCTTCTCTGACTTAGGGTTTAGTACTTACAATAAAGCACATACTCAGATGCTATCTGCTGCTTTTGTATCTGGTTTGGGTTGCTAAGGGGTTAGAGTCAGTGGTGCAACCTACACAGAGACGATCAAACCCGATGATGTTTAATGCTCCTACCATAGCTACAGGGTCAGTGCCAGCAGTTTCCGGTTTCCATACATTCCCAACTGCACCAACCCCTAACCGTGCTCAATTCCCGACTGCCAGGATTTGCTATAATTGTCACCAACCTGGCCATTTCCGTAGGGACTGCCCGCTCCCTAGATACAGTAGACCATCGCCCCCTCGGTATCCTGGCCCTCCCTCTGCTGCCCATGGTTATCCTACACCAGGTTATCCTAGGTTCCCCTCGCATCCCCCAGTCCCCTATTTCCCTCCTCCTGAGTACTCCCGGGTTCCCCCACTGCCCACAGAGACCAGTCCCCAAGCTCCTACTCCCGATATGGAGGAGGACCACCAAAGATCAAACCATATTTCGCGACCCACGCCTCCATCAACCTCTGCACGCCGTTATACCGGCCCAGATCAGTCCCATTTAGACTTATTGCAATAGGTAACCGGCAAGCCTGTGTCAGACATCCCTGCTATGGCAGTGTCTTCAGGGGATGAGGGAGTGCCCCTAGCTACTGTAGTTCTTCCCACTGAGGGACACCCCACTACTTTCTTAGTTGACACAGGTGCAGCCCGTAGTGTTCTCAGAGAACAAGACCTGCCTGATCCCTCCTTTTTGTCTGACATCGATGTCTCTTGCGTTGGTGTTGATGGTACTCCCCGCAGTAACCCCCTCACTAAGCTCCTCCGTGTGGGTTCTGACATTCTGTCCTGATTTGTTGTTTCCTCTACCTGCCCCATTAACCTATTGGGTGCTGATGTTCTGTCCCGTCTTCAAGCATCTATTACCTTTACCGCAGATGGCCAAGTTCAGCTAAACACACCTTTATCACGAAAGGACACTTCAGCGCTTTGCTCCCTCCCATTACTGTTACATTTAGAATCTCCTGCAGGGGAATCAAGGGTCCCTCATGCCCCCAGTGCTCTGGAGAGGATCCCTATCAAGCTCTGGTCTACTGGCCATGATGATATTGGCCGCCTCAAAGTTCCTCCTGTTGTGGTCTCGGTCTTGCCCGGAGTTACCCCTCCTAGAAGGCCCCAGTATCCACTGAAACCTGCTCAAGCCTCCGCCATCTCCAAACAAGTTGAAAGCCTCCTGGCCAAAGGGGCTCTTGTCAAGTGTGTGTCACCATGTAACACTCCATTATTTCCTGTCAAGAAAAGGACTGAAACCAGTACCGTATGGTTCAAGACCTACGTGCAGTTAATGATGTCACTGTCAAAGACACGGCTGTTGTTCCTAACCCCCATACATTACTGTCGCAGGTTCTGCCCTCTGCCACAATTTTCACAGTTGTGGACCTTGCTAATGCCTTTTTCAGCGTTCCCCTGGACCCATCTTGCCAATATCTTTTTGCTTTCACTCATGAGGGCCAGCAATATACTTGGACTGTTTTGCCCCAGGGAGCTCAGAATTCACCTACTCAGTTTGCCCATGCCATGTCACCGGTCCTGGAACCCTGGCAAAAGACACACACTGATGTGGTGTTGCTCCAATATGTTGATGATCTACTTCTCTGCGCTGATGATCTCCAAACTGCTGAACGAGTTTCAGAAGATCTCCTCTGTTTCCTGGCTGAGGCGGGCTGTAAGGCCTGGAAATCTAAACTCCAATGGTGCCGGCCCTCGGTGGTCTTCTTGGGACATTGTCTTTCCCATGGCACCCGTCACCTTACAAAGGATAGGATCCTAGCTATTCTGGACTTACCTATCCCTTCTACACACCAATCTCTCCATGCCTTCTTGGGCCTGATTACTTATTGCAGATCCTGGATTCCAGACGCCTCTCAGCTCATGCAGCCACTATATGATGTCTTGAAACATGATCCTTTCTCGCTATCACCACATGCTCTTGATTGTTTCACTTCTCTGAAGAAAGCTATTGCATCTGCCCCCGCCCTGGGTTTGCCAAACTACCAGTTGCCCTTTAAACTATTTGTGTCTGAAAAACTGGGCCACGCTTCTGGGGTTCTCACTCAACAACATGGCTCCAGACAAAGACCTATTGGCTATTTTTCATGCATGCTCGATCCTGTTGCCAGGGGCAGCCCTTCTTGTCTCAGAGCAGTATTTGCTGCCAGTGCACTCCTGGACAAGACTAATGCCTTTGTTCTTGGGCATTCTCTCACCGTCCTAGCTCCGCATGATATTTCTGCAATTCTCCAACAAACACAACCTCAACATCTTTCCTCTCAACGTCATTTGAGGCTGCAAACCTCGTTGTTGCTACCAGACAATGTTACTCTTCAACGTTGCTATTCGCTAAACCCTGCCACTCTTCTGCCACTTCCCAAGGGGGGAGTGGCACAACACTGGTACAGCCTGGACATCAACCCAGATGCCCGAATGGAGTTCCAGCTACCCACTTTTACAATTCCTCATGATCAACAATCAGAAAATATGTTACATTGCACCTTGTGGTTTAAAGACAATCCGGGCCCCGATGTGGATTATGAAGAAGAACTATTCCAACTGATTGAAATTCACATCACATTGACAGACCTGTTGTGGGACTCCAGATGCAACATGCTCCTATTGGTACATCTTCCAGTAAGGGTGTCTCACCTCTACCGCCATTGGGAAACGGCTGTTCCACATATTTCTCTCACCAAGTCCCCTGACACCCTATGGCAAGATCTTGGCCCAATGGCCATATCCTGGAGCACTATGACCCAAGAACAACTTGAATCATCGGGAATCACTAAAAGAATCATCAATTGCAATACAACAGGATTTCCTCGACATCACACAGAAATCTGTGAAGACCTCCCACCTATGGAACAGGATCCAGAGGCCCCTCATGATTGCTTCGAACAAATGAAGATGAAAACTACCCACTTACCAACCATACATGAAGTTGCCCTACCAAGTCCGGACCAGACATTGTTTGTAGACGGTTCTAGATTTGCTGATGAACAAGGGCAGTATCACACTGGATATGCAGTTACCACAGAATACCAAGTACTACAAGCAGCCGTGCTTCCATTAACCAAATCAGCACAAGAAGCTGAACTGATAGCTCTCACAGTGGCCTGCAAATTATCTGAGGGCCTCCGTGTTAATATCTATACGGATTCAAGATATGCTTTGGGAGTAGCACATGACTATGGCCTAATTTGGAAAACCCGAGGATTCCTCACAGCTGCTGGAACCCCAGTGAAACATGGCCTAGCCATCAAAGAACTAATGGACGCCTTGATACTGCCAGCAGAGGTAGCAGTGCTTAAAGTAAAGGCCCATGGAAGACTGAACTCAGAAGAAGCACGAGGCAATCATCTAGCAGATCAAGCTGCCAAGGATGCAGCACGACAAGGGTGGGCAGTGGGCAGAAGAGTGGCTACTGAAACAATACCTGTCTATACTATGCAAACACTGCCTACAGATCTCAACCTTCTGAAGGAACAGCAAGCTGCTGCAACTCCTCAGGAAAAGCAGAGTTGGAAGAGCAGGGGAGCCATTCTTCAGGATGATGTTTACACCCTTAATCTTAAATTCTGTCTACCCAAAAATATGTACCCAGCGGTTGTCCAATGTGCTCATGGACCAGCTCACCTGTCAAAGCACCTGATGAACTCTCTGATTGATAAATACTTTGAAGCACCAGGCATCACTACCTTGACACAGAATTATTATAAATCCTGTGCAATTTGTGCCAAATGTAACCCTGGGAAAGTTGTCAAGACTGCACCCAACCACTTGGCTAAACCACAATATCCTTTCCAGAGAATACAGATTGACCACATCCTGATGCCAAAGAGTGGGCGCTATGAATATGCATTAGTTATTGTGGACATGTTCTCAGGATGGCCGGAAGCTTTTCCAGTGGCCAATCTTACCGCCAGGACAACAGCTAAACATCTCCTAACAGAAATTGTCTGCAGATACGGTGTTCCAGAAGTAATTGAAAGCAATCAAGGAACCTCTTTTACTGCCTTATTAACCCGGGAAGTCTGGACAGCACTGGGGGTGACCCTTGCCTTCCACACGCCATATCATCCACAGAGTAGTGGTAAGGTAGAACGCATGAATGGCACATTAAAGGCCAGAATGCTCAAGATGTTTCAGGAAACTAACATGCCCTGGCCCGAGAGTCTACCACTAGCACTATTCAGTGTAAGGTACATCCCTAGGGGAAAATGCAATTTATCTCCCTATGAGATTCTGTTTGGCACTGCACCCAGATTAGGTTGCTATTTTCCTCAGCAGCTTCAGATACAGTCAGATGCTATGGTAAATTATGTAACTGCTCTCTCTCGTGCCTTGACCAAAATCCATGCCCAAGTGTTTTCTTCTATTCCAGATCCTGAGTTGAATACAGGTACACACAAGTTGCTTCCTGGTGATTGGGTTATGGTCAAGAAATTTCTCAGAAAACACACTCTTGAACCGAGATTTGATGGTCCCTACCAAGTACTCCTAATTACAGCTACCTCTGTCAAATTGGCTGGGAAGAGTTCCTGGATACACGCCTCACACTGCAAGAAAGTGCCTGCTCCAGGAGAGACCACCCTCGTTGAACCATGAATTTGTTGTAAAGATAACAATGTTTACACTTTTTGGTACAATTCTTCATGTACAGATGTAGCCACATTCACCTTCGATTATTGTGATATCGTTACTTGCACCTTCCCACAAACACAGTATGCATCCATATACAAGGACATACCCAGTAAAAAAGATCCATATATTTGTGTGACTGGGGGATCTTGGGGCCATCATTGTGATTCATGGAAAGCAGCCAGGTGGAACACGGGCAGACCATGGGGATATAGACCACAGAGTGCCCTTGACAGACTTGACCAGGACGGGAAACCCTTACTCTCTAGAATGACTTTAACTAAACCTACTGGGTCAACCCCCATCAAACTCACTCTAAACATAGAGCATCCTAGTCCTGGGGATGCAGGGGAATATGTGATGGGCATGTATTGGAAGGGGGGCGGCACACACAATAAGCTGGGGACATTCTACTTACAAGACATGTTCAACTCATCTGACTGGGTAGGCACCACACATATGACTATCAATCCACTTAAACCTCACATTAAAACTTTGCATGACATGGTTGCTATCGCTAATCCTACCTTTGAGGACACCATGGCAGTCGAGACAGGGTTTTCAGACACTAATTTATGGCTGGAATGGATGAGGTACAATGCTAATTCACATAATAAGACTAACTGTTATGTGTGTGGGGGAGCTAGGCCCCACCTAGGCACAGTACCTTTAAATCTACCTCCCCAAGTTGAGACATGTGTCTTGAGTCTTTATCCACAATCCACTACTAATTCCTCCATTGTGAGTCATGGAAAAAGGTTTATCCTGTTATCCAAGGACATGTTAAGCCACCTGACGGAGTCACCGTGTATCCAGGTAATTACACTTGTTATTCAATACCTAAGAACACAGGTTTGTACATGGGTAAATTTCCATCAGGTTATTGCTCCACCTATCACAATCCACCCACAACATTACTGATGAATCATGTGAAGACAGTTGGAGATATATACTGGCTGTGTGGTGATAAGCAACTAAGATCCCAGCTAGTGGGGCTGTGGTGGGGAGAATGTACACTAACAAAAGCCATAATGCCCATTCACATTATCCCTGATGGCTTTCATGAGGAGTCAGACCACACACATACAAGCCATAGAACTAAAAGGGAGGCCCTAATCCGTGGTAGTTTTGACCCACATGTTTACATAGATGCCATAGGTGTGCCAAGGGGGGTGCCTAATGAATTTAAAGCAAGAGATGAAGTAACAGCTGGGTTCGAATCCTTAATTCCAATGATCACAGCCAACAAGAATGTCAATTGGATTAACTATATCTATTACAATCAACAACGATTTGTTAATTACACCAGGGATGCCCTACAGGGCCTGGCAGAACAGTTGCAAGCTACCACACAAATGACATTCCAAAATAGAATGGCTCTAGACATGATATTAGCAGAAAAGGGGGGCATTTGCAAGATTCTCCCCGAAACCATGACATGTTGCACATTCATTCCAGACAACACTGGGCCCAATGGTAAGGTAACTATGGCCATAGAGAAACTGGACAGTCTCTCGGATGAATTAAAGAAGAATTCAGGAGTCATGGATACTTGGGACCGGTGGTTTGGATGGATGAATGGTTGGCAGAGAACTTTATTCCAGGTTGGAACTGCGGTCCTTATAGTGTTCATTATCTTCTTGTTCTTAATCTGTTGTGTGTTTCCTTGCATACAAAGGTACTTACAGAAAGCAGTGGGGAAGACTATAGATGACGCAACTCCTACCTTCCTACATCAGGATGTTACAGAACTAGACTATGACACACCACACACACCCCTTCAACCTCACCAATTCAAACAGGCAACTGCACTCCTGTAGGGATAGCGTAGGGAAAGCGTCTGTCTCTACGGGCAAGTCTCACGTGTGGAGATGTGGTGGATTAGCCACCGCGGGTTACCCACGGAGTGAAGAGTTCGATGCTCGTTAAGACAGATGAGCTGCAGGCAGTTGCAGTTGTTATGGTAAATATCCATTTTAAGGGGGGACTGTTGTGGAAATAAAATATGAATATATACACATATATCTTTGTAGTTAGTAAAATGTCTATTTACCCATTGCACTGAAATCAGTAGATAAGCTATTCACGCATATTTAGACAAAATGGCTGCTAGAAGTTTCTAACCCCTCCCTCCTTATAACCTCGACTAACTACCTTGTGTAACAAGATGGCGCTGAGATCTGGGGGAGACCCTCATGGTCTCAGTGACATCACCTTTAGTAGGCAGAGCACTAAGATAACTACTTAACACCTAACCAATTGATACCGTATTATTTCATGTTATCTCTGACAATGCTTATGATGTAATTTTGCTTTAAAAGGGACTTGCCGTCCCCTCTGAATAAACATTCCTCAAGTTATTCAATTACCTGAAACTCGTGTCTGGTGTGAATTACTTCAGGGAGCGTGAACGCATTGTTTCATTAATTTGGCCAGGGACAGATACACAAAGAATAATCAATCGATTGAGTTGATTTCCACTTCAATTATATTAATACAGGGAGATATACAGCCTCTATACCGTGTAATAATTATATTAATACCGGGAGATATACACCCTCTACCGTGTAATAATTATATTAATATCAGGATATATACAGCCTCTATACCGCGTAATAATTATATTAATATCAGGAGATATACAGCCTCTATACCATGTAATAATTATATTAATACTGGGAGATATACAGCCTCTATACCATGTAATAATTATATTAATATCGGGAGATTGCTTCCTTGAGCTTCTGGCAAAGATATCTCTAATGAGACAGAGAGGGGTATTTTTTATATACACTCTGTAACGGAACCGCTGGCACCCCGACTGGGTACCTTCCGCCGACGGATGCTCCTAGTGCTTTCCGAGGACTCCAAGCACTCTGCCTGACACCACAACCACTGCAGACCCCACGAACCGCCGCAGCTTGGTTGGGGTCTCGCCGTCTCCACCCACTCTGGACCCAGGACCAGGGTCCAGCTTCCAGCAGGTCGACCTCTCTCCGAATTCCAGAGAGCAGGAACAGGAACAAGCTCTTAACAGAGCTTAGTGATTATACCCTGGGGAGTATAGTGATTATAGCAATCCCCAGAGTGTAGTTTCTCCAATTCCCCAAACATGAGCCGAAACTTCATGAAGGTACAAGATGATCTGCTTTTTAATGACCACATACTGGCTTTTATGCAAGTCCCCATGCACAAGGTGGGACACAGTACAACCAATTGCACAATGGTTACATCCCACACATCTCCTCCCCTTAGCCTGAGAAGTAACCCAATTATCCATACATTTTAAAACACACTTTTTACCCAACTTTCATAACTCTAAAACTATACATCACATTCACATAAAATTACATATTCACAATCAATCCATTCAGGAGAACAACATATTAAAAAACGGCCTGAATCAGACCAGGGGTTCAGAAGTTAGCACAAGTATCTTTTGGGGCCTGGCTGGCAGCATGGATATCTGGCCCAAACTGGTTTCAGAGTCTTCTATTCTGGAGATAATTGAGAAGTAATGCAATTATCTCCAAGGACAGAGGCAAAACTCCATTAGCCACATGGCAGACAAAGGACAACAAAAGTCACACACTCCTAGTTGTTTATGATTAACTCCTAATAGGGAACACATTGGAGTAACTAAATAACTTCCACCCAGGGATTTGGGAAGGTAACCTTTCTTCTTTGTTTTTTACTGGATGTTTTGGGGCTGATGTGTACTGTGGTCATTGCTGCCGCCCAAGAGAAGTGGGAGTTTGACCTCAGTCCTATACTCTATTGTCATTACATACTGTGTTTTGAATTATATTTTTCTTAGTTCATTTTCTCTGTTTTATTTTGATTTCCTTCTGCTTCTACCAGTCATTTGAGCTGATGTGACATTACAAATCAATAGAAGCCCATGTCCAGAGTTTGTTGTAGAGTTTTCTTTGATATAAGGATTGGGATTCCTCGGATTGTGTTCGGTTAACTTGTCTGAAATCAGAATGTCCGTGTCATCAGATTGAGCACTTTTTAGGGTTTCAGGGTACCGACTCACTGGATATGTGATAAAGATGCAAGAAGGATAGTGCGATATGTACGTACATTGTACAGTTATGTATGAAATCCCTTATCTCTTGAAGAACGTACTGTGTGTTTTGGGAATTAGATTTGGGCGTTCTCCATTCTGGCCAGTGTGGTGGGGGAGAAGTCTCCCCAGAAATGCTCTGCATTGTTCTGTTATCAGGACACGATCTGGAACGCTTGTTGAACCTATGGGGGGCTGGGGTGGTGGAGGTACGATGAGCAGTTTCGGCAGCGGTTGGCAGTGCGTCCCTCGCTGTCGTGGTCTCTGGCTCGCAATTATGACCCGTCCAGCCCCCCAGCAAGCCGCGTTTTCGTCCTTTCTTGGAGGGGCTGGTGGGGGCTCTTCCTCATCCCCTTCAGCCCACAATCAGAGGCCGGGCTGTTGTTGGAAGTTTAACAACAGTCACTGTAAGTGGGGATCCTCGTGCCGGTTTAAGCAAGAGTGCTCTGGTTGCGGTGGGGCCCACCCTGCGGTCAGGCCCACCCTGCCTCCCGCTGTTTCAAGCGGGGTAAAACAGGCAAAAAAGGCGACATGGGGGCTAAGGGCGATGACCCCGGTGCTCGTAAACATGATGCACCGTGGCTCGACCTTTATAAGAATCGGGCCGTTTTGCGGATTCTGGTGGAAGGGTTTGAGCAGGATTTTTGTATCCCCTTCTTGGAGCTCCCTCAACGGTGAGAAGGAACCCGGTAAATATCGCCTGATTCACCATTTGGCATACCCTCAAGGGGGTTCCGCGAATGATGACATCTCGGCAGAGCTTTGCAGGGTATCCTACGCATCTTTGATGCGGCGGTTCACATGGTGAGGGCGGCGGGCCCGGGGGCATTGCTAGCAAAGGCGGACGTTGTATCGGCCTTTCGGCTGCTTCCGGTGCATCCGGAGTGCCATCATCTACTGGGCTGTGCCTTTGAAGGACAGTTCTTTGTGGATATGTGCCTCCCTATGGGCTCTGTCATGTTTTTATTTTGAGTGTTTTAGCACTTTTCTGGAATGACTAGTATGGAGGGAAGCAGGGGTCGCTTGAGTTTTGTCCTGCCTAGGGCAGCACAAAACCAGGATACACCACTGACCGGCAGAGTCGCATGTCTGTGCCCAGCTTCTGCGGGTTTTCGGGGAAGTGTTTCAGCGATTCGGTGTTTCATTGGCTCATAACAAGGCGGTGGGTCCGGTCACGTGACTTCGTTTTCTGAGCATTGAAATCGATTTGGTGGCCGGGAATGTCGTTTGCCCCAGGATAAGGTTCTGGACCTGCACCTAGCGGTGTCACAGGCCATGGGGCAACGTAAGCCATGCGGATTGGGGAGCTGGTGTGCCCCAGTAGGCGACAAGTTCGGGGACGTTTCTTGCACTGCTGATCAGATCTCTTTCAGGATCCGCCGCTCGAAGACTGATATCTTGGTGAGGGGCAAATGGGTCCATCTGGGGGCTGTGCTGGGTTCCGGCATCTGTCCTGTTTTGTCCTTTGGGGAATATTGTACCTTGCGCTCTTCTCCCGTGCTGCACCTCCTGGTGCATGAGGATGGTAGTTTCCTTTCTTCTTTCCAGCTTATTAGAGTGTTTAGTTTAGGGCTGGAATCTCTGGGAATTGATAGCAGGGATTTCGGGATGCATTATTTTCGTATTGGGGCGGCCACTGAGGCCTCTAGACTTGACATGCCATTGTAGGTGGTTCAGAGAATTGGGAGGTGGGAATCTAGAAGTTATGCTTCCTATGTTCGCCCGGCGGGTCTACTGACGTAATTTCTTTCCGCAGATTCGGTTCCCCCCAGGATTTGGATTATCGGACACTGATATGTTTACTGGGCCGGGCAGCGTGCGGTGGTTCGACTTGGAGGCGAGCAGTTGGGTTTCACGCCTTCCGAAGCTGAGGTTCGATGGTTCGGTACGAGGGGTATGAGGTGGGTAGGGCTCCCCCCTGAGGTGGTTCAGCTGTCCTGCCTCCTGGGGGTGCCGAGTGTCCTAGTGATCCACCTGGGGGGTATGATTTGGGTTCGGTGCCCATATGGGATATGATATCGGCGGTGAAGCGGGACCTGGAGCATTTTAATATTGTTCCCCCAACATGCGCTTGGTTTGGTCAGAAGTTATTGCCCCGGAACGTAGGTCGGGCTAGACCGTTTTAATCTCGCTCCTAGTGACAGCCTGTGAAGGAGAGCTCAGAGCCCCCCCACCTCTTAACTCTGCCCTCACTGATAGTCCCCACTCGGATCTATCAGTTAGGACAAAGGACAGAGTTAAGTGGCGATCGGAGGCGGAGCTACAGGCAAGCGGGGGCAGAGCTACAGGCAAGCGAACCCTCTGCCTGGTAATTTAAGGGAAGCAGGAAGCAGTTCCTGCTCCCCCACCTAGCCCAACTGTGCCCCCCACCTAGCCTAACTCTGCCCCCCAACTAGCCTAACTGTGCCCCCCACCTAGCCTTACTGTGCCCCCTGTTCCCCACCTAGCCTAACTGTGCCCCCCACCTAGCCTAACTGTGCCCCTCAACTAGCCTAACTGTGTACCCTGCTTCCCAACCAGCCTGCTTCCCAACCAGCCTAACTGTGCCCCCTGCCCCCCCACCTAGCCTAACTGTGCCCCCAGCTCCCCCCACATAGCCTAACTGTGCCCCCTGCTTCCCCACCTAGGCTAACTGTGCCCCCTGCTTCCCCACCTAGCCTAACTGTGCCCCCAGCACACATATCACATCCAATACACACATATGTCACACACACTCAATAGAACAATTACAAATATTACACACAGCCAACACAAAGCATACATATCACACACAGTCATCACTCTTATCACCCACCACACACTACATCATATTGTTATGAGATTTATTACAGCAGAGCTCTCTCATACAAAATGAAATATGTAGCTGTCCTCCGAGCTCTGGCCAATCAGAACATTGCCATGGATTACTACAGGAAAGCTCTGACACTAAGTGCCTGAGCTCACAAGACAGTTACTTATGGTCTTGCACCCGGTGGAGGCGCCGACCAGATTCCCTGAATACTGGATCACCAGAGTTCAGCATGCCCACCTCCCTGCAAGGTAATAACAGAGAAGGTTTGTTTTTAAATATTAATTTAATAAATCTTATATACAAACACTACACACCTATTGACATACACTGTACATG